AATTATTAAAGGAATTTTTGCAACTGTTTCTTCTGATTTTGAGTTGTGCTCCATAAGCAAATTATTGTTTTGTTGTTAAGGGCCATCAAGTCAGTTCCGACTCATAGTGACCCTGTATAGCGTTTCTTAGGAGCGACTGGTAAACTTGCAGTTCAAACTGCAAATAAAGGTCCTGAAAACTTTACTCCATCCATGTCATTAAGTTGCTTCTACTTTGAGGAGTCCTGGTATGGTATTGTAGAAGCACTGGACTACTAACTGCAGTGAATCAAACCCATTAGCCACTCCTTGGTACCCCTATTCAGGGTCTCTGTGAGTCAGGACTGACTCGATGGCACTTAACAACAACAACTTTGAGGAGGTGGCTATTACCCAGTCGTATATTAAATGCCTTCCAACCTGAAGGACTTACCTTCAGAGAGGAACTATGAGTTGAAACCTAAAGATCTTATTGAAAAGACGACTTTCAGCCCTGGTTATTTTTTCCTGTTTTTTTGTAGTGAAAAGAGAATTGTGGATATTCTATACAATAATACACTAAACTTCTAGCATGGAAACTCATAAACCCTTATTTCTAACTCTTTTCAAAGCAGCCTTCTTTCAAACCATCTAATTGTCAGTTGACATTAGATTTTTGGAAAAATTGTTATATTTATAAGTTCTGCTTAGAATGGCTTTTCACTTTCTAGTCTCAAAACATCTTCACTTGGATAATTTTTTCAGTTGTCTGCCTTGTTTTTTAATCATGACATTTTTATTATAGAATGAGTTCTTTTGTTTACAATCATGACAGTATCATCCAGACCATGGCATAGAAAGGAAAGGCTATGAGTTAGAAATTCCCTAGCTAACTGAAAATTGCCTCATGAGAAAGCGTACTGTCAATCTTTTAGTGGCTACCATAATACTGATCATTCTAGTGCGGTGCTGTAGGATAACCATTGAATGTTTCTACAAGTTTGGTGGTTCAAACCAACCAGCCACTCCTTAGAAATTCTGTACAGGGTCATTTTGAGTCAGAACTTACTCAGAGGCACTTAACAACTGTCCTTTAGCAATTAGGCAACAAAGTGCTTGTGGTAGGCGATAGGCCCAGTTAGCACTGCTGGACACGGTTGAAAACTACTAATCTATACATAGAATTGCTGGGAGGGAGCCACACTCTTCCCAATAGCTCCCCTAAGCTTAGGGCTTGAGTTTGTTCCTATTGTACTTTTGTGAAGAAATTGTTTGAAACTTTTACTATCCCAAACCTCAGTTCACAAGACCTACTTTTTTTGTTGTTGTTGTTGTTAGAAAAATTACCTCCCTAGCGTACTTCAAGAGAACCATTTTTGATGAAAATATTAGGTCTCTTTTGTGCGTGCCAGGAGGAGGCATGAGTGTCCAGCCTCTCTGCGAACCTCAGAGTACCCAACAGACTGATTTCTATGCGGGTACAGATTCCGATTGAGATTTTGTTTTTGTTCTTCAATTCACTCTTAATACTTTTAAGAGGTCTGTAAAATGAGAGACTTCAAAATGTCCAAGATTGATGACTTAGAACACTTTAGAGAACATATTCAGAGATTTTAAGAAAGGGATGGAATAAGATATAAAATTTCTGAAAGGCAGGTTTGCAAGCTCAGCATTCCTGAATGAGTGCCTTGGGCAAGCTTTAATTTCATTTCTGGAGAGAAAGAAAGCAAAGAGGAGTTACAGGGGGAGTCTTACATCTGGGGCTAGATACAGAAGATCACATGCTGTTACTGTTGTTAGGTGCCATCGAGTAGATACCCGACTCATAGTGACCCTATGTACAACAGAACGAAACACTGTCGGGTCCTGGACCAACCTCACAATTGTTGCCACGCTTGAGCCCATTGATGCTGCCACTTTGCCAATCCATCTCGCTGGGGTCTTCCTCTTTTTCTCTGACCCTCCACCTTACCAAACATGATATCCTTCTCTAGCGACTGGTCCCTCCTGATAATATGTCCGAAGTATGAGAAACGAAGTTTGGCCATCTTGGCCTCCAAGGAGCACTATGGAAGCCCTTCTTCCAACACAGATCTGTTGGCATAGCACTTTCAATATTCTCTTCCAACACCATAACTCAAAAATATCAGTTCTTCTACTATCTTCCTTATTCACTGTGCAATTTTTGCATGCATATGAGATTATTGAAAATACCATGGCTTGGGTCAGGAGCACCTTAGTCCTCAAGCTGACATCTTTGCTCTTCAACACTTTAAAAAGCAGCAGATTTGCCTAATGCAATACATCATTTAATTTCTCCACTGCTGCTTCCATGAGTGTTGATGGTTACTCCAAGAAGAATGAAGTCCTTGACAACTTCAGTCTTTTCTCCATTGATAAGGATGTTGTTTATTGGTCCAGTGGTGAGGATTTTTGATTTCTTTACATTGAGATGTAATCCATACCAAAGGCTGTGGTCTTTTATTATCTTCATCAGTAAATATTTTAAGTCCTTTTCACTTTTCATGAAGCAAGGTTGTATCATCTGCATATTTCCGGTTGTTAATGAGACTTCCTTCAGTCCTGATGCCATGTTTTTCTTCATGTAACCCAGCTTCTCAGATTATTTGCTCAGCATACAGGTTGAATAAGTATGGTGAAAGAATACAACTTTGTCACACACCTCTCTTAATTTTAAACCATTCAGTGTTCCCATGTTCTGTTCGAACAACTGCCTCTTGGTCCAGGTACAGATTCCTCATGAGCACAGTTAATTACTCCGGAATACTCATACTTCACAATCTTGTCCATAGCTTGCCATAATCCACACAGTCGAAAGCCCTTGCATAATCAGTAAGCACAGGTAAACATCTTTCTGGTAATCTCTGCTTTCAGCCAAGATCCATCAAACATCAGCAATGATATTCCTCATTCCATATGCTCTTCTGAATCTGGCTTGAACCTTTTGAAGTTCTCTGTCAATATATGATTGTAGCCGTTTCTGTATTACATTTAGCAAAACTTTACTAACGCATGGGATATCAAAGATATTATCCAATGATTTCCACATTCCATTGGGTCACGTTTCTTTGGAATGGGCACAAATACAGATCTCTTCCAATCAGTAGGCCAGATAGTTGTTTCCAGATTTCTTGGCAAAGATGAGTGAGTGCCTCCAGTACCACCTAACTTTCTTGAAAGATTTCAATTTGTATTCCATCAATTCCTGGTGCCTTGTTCTTCACCAATTCCTTCAGTATACCTTGGACTTCTTCCTTCAGTATCATTGGCTCTTGATCATATTCTACCTCTTGAAATAGTTGAACATCATTTCCTTTTGACACAGTGACTCGGTGTATTCCTTCCATCTGCTTTTGATGCTCTCTGCATCATTCAATAATTTACCTGGAGAATCCTTCAATAATGAAAGTCGAAGCTTGAATTTTTTCTTGAGTTCCACCAGCTTGAGAAATGCTGAGCATGTTTGTCCCTTTTGGTTTTCTGACTCCAGCTCTTTGCACATTTTTTTGTAATATTTGACTTTGTCTTCTTGAGCTGACCTTTGACATTTTCTGTTCAGCTCTTGTACCTCCTCATTTCTTCCATTTGCTTTAGCATCTCTACTCTGGAGAGCAAGTTTCAGTGTCATTCTGACATCCATTTTGATCTTATCCTTCTTTCTTGTCTTCGTAATGACTTTTTACTATCTTCCTGTATGATGTTCTTGATGTTGTCCCACAACTCTTCTGGTCTTCTGTCTTTAGAGTTTAATGTATCAAATCTGTTCATCAGATGATCTCTAAATTCAGGTGGGATATATTCAAGGTCATATTTTGGATCTCAGCTTCAGTCTGAATTTGCATATGAGCAATTAATGGTCGGGTCCACAACCATCTCTGGCCTTGATTTGGCTGATGATAATGGAGCTTGTTCTCTGTCTCTTTCCACAGATATAGTCAGTTTGATTTCTGTGTAGTCCATCTGGTGAGGTCCATGTGTATAATCGTCTCTTATGCTGTCTAAAGAAGGTATTTGAAATCAACAAATCGTTGGTTTTTCAGAATTCTATCATGTAATCTCCAGCATCATTTCTATCACCAGGGCCATATTTTCCAACTACTGATCCTTACACTTTGTTCCCAACCTTTGCATTCCAATTTCCAGTAATGATCAATATATCTTGATTGCGTTTTGGTCAATTTCAGATTGAAGAAGTTGGTAGAATTCTCCTATTTCATCCTCTCTGGCTTTAGTGGTTGGTGTGTAAGTTTGAATGATAATGGTATTAACTGGTCTTCCCTGCAGGCACATTGATATTATCCTATCACAGACAGCATTGTACCTCATGACTGATCTAGATAGGTTCTTTTTGACAATGAATGCAACACCATTCCTCTTCCATTTGTCATTCCTGGCTTGGTAGAAAGATGAGACTTTCTGCTCCGTAAATAGTAGCAGTCTCAGAAACCCAATATAGGATCACTGTGAGTTGGAATCGACTCCACAGCACACGACGACCACCACAAGTGTTTCCCAGGCTTGACCCTGGAACCATTTTTGAATGAATTTATTTTTTCAAAACTTTCTATTGTGAACTGAGAAGTGATTGAATCTTGAATCACAAGTAGTCATTCCTCTAAAAATTGAGCCCTTAGAGGCAAAAAGTGGCCAAATTAAGCAACAGGTTAGTGTACAAACTTGGGCTAGATTCAGCTCTTGAAATTTCCCAATTGTTATGCTTCTGGGTTCAGCAAACTCTACTGATCCATTACCAGCAAGTTGATTTTGACTCCAAGGCCATATAGGAAGGAAAGTGTAGAACTGCTGTTATAGGATTTCCAAATCTCAACATTCGTAATAGGTCTCACAAATGTAATTTTGAGTCCTAGCTTAAAAGTAGCATGCATTTTTTCTTGTAATTTATTTGAAGAGCATTCTGCATCTCCGTAAGTAGTCATTCATGATCAGCGCATGTCATTGAGCCTTTGGGCTGCTAAAGATAGATCTCAGTTGACACATACTAATGTTCTGTTTTCTTTTAGGACAAGAAAGAGATGGCAATCAGTGACTGCAGCAAAGGTACAACTTTCTTTATCTTGTTACGTGTTGACATACAAGAGCATTCACTACCTGTGCTAGACAAACTGGTAGAGTTTTCATCGGGTGTGCACTCAAACAAGACCCTTCCTCTGGGGCCTGTAAAGAGGATTTCTATCAAATGCACTATTTCAGAGGTCTGTATCGTTGTCATCTTCATGTAAGCATGTGTTTGAATAAATAGCTAAACCGTTTCTCCTATATAGTCAATAGGTGAGGGGTATTGCCACTTGGGCAACAGATACTCTTGGAGTTAAATGTATATCCTGTACTCACCAAATTACTTCCCTTTCAGAGTCCGATGGAAGATCTTAGCTTCTGTTTGGGCATCTGGATCAGTGTGTTTAGGGATGGAGCAACTGTCATCAGGGACACGTTCTGTTAGTGAAGTAGTAGTCTCTTCCACTGTAACAATCATTCCATACCTGCTTCGTATAGTTTCAATTATTCCTTTAGATTCTACACACTGAGTTAAGTGTTTGCTTTCTGATAGTTCAATTTTCATTAAGGTCTTTTACATCCCACCAACTCCTCCTCCTTCACCCCCACCCTCCCAATTTTCTTGACAGACCAGACCAGAACTTGCCTTTCTAACCAACTTGATGTGAAGGAGTCACTTTTCCTTGTGACCTCAATTAATACTCTCATGAGTCTCTTTAGCTAAAGTCTGGTTTTTTAATTTTGCTCTTTATTCCATGTTTCTTCCTTGAATAGTCCCTGAGAGAATCCTGCAATTGGAAAGGACCTTATATTTTATCTAGTCCTCCTCTCACCCCAAGCAGGAACCTCTTCTATTTGTTTCTTTATATTAATTAGTGCCTTGTCTACTTTCTTTTTTTAATATTTAGAATTTCTTTATGGTATCTGATCAAAACAGTAGTTACATTAGACTCTAGCAACTACTTTGGCCTCTTACCATCTTGGGCTAGACCTGGTTCTGAACATACTATTTTGTTATTTCAGAAGGTGTTTAACCGATCTCTTTGTGTGAGGTATATTGGTATGAAGAGTTTAAATTGGAAACAGCTTCTTCCCTGTAACCAAATGGTGAGAAAATCAAGTCTTGTAAGCTTGAGTGGTATAGATTAGGACACTTTCAGCTATAGCCCTAAGTGTAGGAAGTATCACCAAGATAATGAAGGGGGGAAGGGCAAGACTTACAACCAAAGTTGAAGAGGTTAAATTAGAACCTTTATACTTGTTGAGCCCCATACACTGTTCCTCTTTAATTTCAAATGGCTGGCCTCCTTCACCTGTTCTCTGACCACTCTGAGCTTGCCTCATTCTCCAGTCGCATTTCCTTGTATCATTTTTCTCCTCAGCTCTGTTATTGTCTAAAATGAGTTACCTGGAGGCTGTCTGCTCTTGCCTACTGGGATAACACAAAGCTTAATGAGAAGAAGGCTCCATTGTACTGTATTTACCATTGCATCCCCAGATATGCACTCCATTAGACAATTGTTATTAGGAGCTAGATAAATATTCACTGAAAGAATGAACAAATAAAAAATAATACAAGTTCTAGAGCCATGACATTTATTTCTAACAGAAAAAGAACAATTCAGAAGAGGTAGAGGGAACATGGTATACTTTAATCAAAATCGATACTGAAGCATTTTAGAAGGGTGACAAAGGAGAAGATACTATGCTTCAGTGACCTAATGGTACTAGAGCAGTAACTTGAAGACATTGAGCACTTAGCTAGAAATGTTACCTCAATAATCAGGAACTAGGAAAAGCCAGAACGAGAACAGCTTGCCACCTTCACATTCTCTCTTCACTGTGCAGGCCATGGAAAAGTAGGGAAAGGTCAGGACTTGGGAGGTTGACCATCCGTCAGACATCTCTGGCCCACAAGTAAAATTCTGCAGCTGTGTGTTTCTGTACCGCCTGCAAATTAAGAATACTTTTGACTTTTTTTAATAGGGGGACAAATCAAAAGAATATTTCGTGACATTTGAAAATTGAGTGAAATTTCAATTTCATGTTTGTTTAATTTTAAAAGGGGGGAGTTTATTCAAACACAACTAAACATAACATATTTGTTTACATATAGTCCACGGCTGATTTTGTACTACAATAGCCGAATTTAATATTTACAACAGAAATCTTATGGCCTTGCAGAGCCTTAAAATATTTACTGTTTTTCTTTTTATGGGAAGTTTGTCAACCCCAGGTATACCATACCAGAACTGAACCTGTTGCAGTCCATTTTGACAAATGACCTTCCTATCATACCCTTGGGGAACAGTTCACAAAATATACATGGCTGACGTTGTGTAGATCCTTTTCCTTCATGGTAACAATTACTTCTTTTCCTTCTACAGCAATTCAGTTAAACCCAAGCTATATCCGCGCAATACTGAGGAGAGCAGAGTTGTACGAGAAGACAGACAAGCTGGATGAAGCGTTGGAAGACTATAAATCTGTCTTAGAGAAAGATCCATCAGTACCCCAAGCAAGAGAAGCTTGTATGGTAAAACCTAATTTTTTTTTTTTCTTCTTCTTCTTCTTCTATTCTCTTTATTGCTACTCAGTTAATGTTAAGTAATCCTTTGGCACACAACTAAATTTGATATATATTCAAAAATTGATAATGCTCTTAATTCCTAGGGATGAAAAGGATTCTCTCTCATTGTTGTACTAGGGAAATCTTCTCCACTGTACTTGTACAGTTTAGTCTAAAATGATCATTAGTATTATAGGTAATAAACTGGTCTTCTATCTTTCTTTTTCATTATTCAGTCTCCAAGTTTCTATTCATTTATCATATGCATAGTCTTCCTGATGTGGCATAGTGGGATAAGCACTGGACTACTGTCGGGGTCTGACCTCGACATAGTTGTGTTGTTCACGAGTGTTTGGGTCACGAGGAGGGGAGATCCAGCGGCGATAGGGATAGCGAAAGAATACACAGACAAACAGAAGAAGGGAGACAATGAGGCACCCCAAAGCCAGGGTGGATACATCACTGGTGGGCAGGCTTGGGAGTATAGGCATCGTGGCCTCTGCAGGCAGCAACTCACTGCCCTGCAATCTTTACTGCATGCCTTCCAACCAGTAATGCACACCTGGGGAGGCCCGGGCCTCTGTTTTATTTAGGGGAGGAGCTTCACACCTAGCTGGGAGGGACTTAGGCAAGGTACAGCTAACATCAATACTTTTCCAGACATTCAGATAACTTTACATCATACTTCGCTGGTTCGAATCCGAGGCCAGCAACCTGGATTCTCAGGCCCAATTAACATATCTATAGCCCCTGAGGTCAGTTGGGGGAAGGTGAGAGTTCTGCAGGAGATGCCCAGGTGAATGGGCTGCACCTGGAAAAGGGATTAGGGAGGATGGGTTCTTTGTCTATAGAACAAAGAACCGAGAAGTAGCTAAGATATTTTTAGTTAATCCTTTTGGAGAAAGGCTTGACCTTGCAACCTTTAGTCTTAGGCTTTAGGAAAATATCACATTTATCTGTGGATTTTCAAAGGCTCCAGTGTATTAATTTAATATATATACCTGAATATTAAAATGAAAGCAATTTGCCATTAACTGCCAGTGGCCTCATTTGTTACACTCGGCCCTAGAGGGCATCGAACCTCTGACCAGTCTTACACGGTCCGCAACAGACTACCAACCACAAAAGTCAGCAGTTCAAAACCACCAGCTGCTCCTTGGAAACCCTGTGTAGGGTCGCTCTGAGTCAGAACTAACTCAGTGGCACTTAACAACAAAATTGCCCTCAGTTATTTCCATTCCAGTTGAACAGCTTCCAAACTAACCTTATCTTTCTTAGAATGGTTCTTATCATTGCCAATGTTATAGTTATTTTTATCTAAGCCATAAATTAGGTAAATGCTATTGAAGTGTGTTCCCCTTTAAGAATAACTTGAGATTGATTCTTTTACGTTTGTCAGCATTCCTAATTATCTCTAAGGCATAGAGCAAGATTGGCTGTGTACGTGTTGTTGTTGTTGAGTGCCATCGAGTCGGTTCCGACCCATAGCGACCCTGTACAGGGTTTCCGAGGGTGTAAATCTTTACAGGAGTAGAAAGCCTTACATGTTAGTGACCAAAATAATAGCTGTTCACTTAAATTTGAGAAACACTTGTTTTAACAAGTTCAGCAGATTTCTTGAGGGCCAGACTTTTCAGGTGACCATTAGGATGAGATCTCTAATTATTCCTCATTTAATCTTCAGCATACAAAGATTGCCTGCCAAACAAGAAGAAAAGACTGCAGACATTTTTAAAATTTAACCAAACATATTTAATTGAAGCAAGAGTTCAACATTTTAAAATAAGATTTTATTGTGTAAAATCTGAACGATTTGGACTGCCTGGGTCCTCTCTGTGTTCCTGCACACTGGCATTCAGCTAGAGCTCTTCAGTTCCAACCCTGACCTCACCACTTCTATTGTCCTTCACCCCACTCCTTTGCTCATTTGTATTTCCTGTCTGGCCCCTGAGGGCTTTTGAGTCTCCACTGTACAAAATGTCCTACTTACTACATGGGACTGTTATTCTTTGGAGCAAATCTGGAAAATGTTGACTCATCTTCTGCATTAATATATAATTTTTTTAAAAACACACTTCAGATGGATACCTTCAATAATAACATCTTTTATATATCACAGAATAGTGAAATAGGAGACAGGCTGGTTTAGATCATGAAAATACATATACAATTTGAAAATAGTTCTAATCTTTTATTAGACATTTTAGCGCAACTGAATGGTGGTGGTTGTTGTATGCCATCAAGTCAGTTCTGACTCATTTTGACCCTGTGTATGGTTTCCGAGGAACGACTGATGAGTTTGAATCACTGACATTGTGCTTAGTGATCCAGTGTTCATTCTATGGCGCCACATGGCATGAGAAAAGAGAGCAGAGTTCTTGGCTAAATTCTTGGTGGCCTTTAACCTTGTCACATTAGTTTTAAACCTGTGACAGGAAGTCCTTAATGCTATGTTATTATAATATGTGTTATAATGTATATATAATAAATCCACAAGGCAGTGTTCAAAATTTTTCATTTCAAACAGGTATATGTATTATAAAAGAAATTAATATAAGAGTGAGGAAAGGGGGGAGGGGATCTCTTTTATTATCTCAGATAGTTTCTCTCTCCAAAGTGTTCCATTCCTTTCTGAGGTTCCATCTGACACCGTTTCCCTTCAACCTAAACAACTGTTTTTATCATTTCTTTAAATCTTGTGTACTCTTTTTCTCTTTTATCACCTTTCTTATCGTTAGCTTTTACCTCCTAATACCTTGTTGTTTGCCTCATTGTTAAGACTTCATCAGTATTGTTGGAAAATGCTCAGACCATAAATTGATTTCTTTGGGAAAACCCTGTCTAGATATATGAGATGCCCAGAATTCCACTGCTAGTCACTGACAACTATAGGATTCTATCCCTGCCACTCCTTCCCCACCTCCTTAATTAAGATTCTGTGCTCCACTGACTGCAGACTGCTTTCCTTCCCCAGCGCTTGGGAACCCTTCCATTTTCATAACCACTCCTTTCATGCCCAGATAGATTTAATAGACTATATTCTTGGAAGACAGACTTTCACATGGTTCGTGACTGTATCTATTCGGTAAAGAGTAGCATAGTGCTCATCCCACCACAGCTCTGCACCTACTTCGCTGTGTCTGAGCTGAGGGTTTAGTCTTAGGATGGCCCATGCTGCTCTTGAAACTGACTTAATAGTAATCTTCTTTGGGGTGTCATACCTACCTTTTACCTTTGTGTTCAAGATTCCTCTAAGAAGGGGAAAAAAGAACTAAAGTAACTTGCAACTTTTGGGAAAGAGTAGCATTTCTGGGGATTTTCTCAGATTGCCAACCTTATTGTTGAAAAGAAAAAAAAACATCCCCCTCTGGAAAGCTTCTCTTTCTAACAGTTAGAAGTGAGAGTATGAGTATGTAGCTTTACCATCCATAGGTAATTCAGCCACTGCTTATGCAATACTTTTTGAAGAGGACTGATCAGTTATTTTGTAAAATGTCTCTCAATTCAGGATTGTATGTAAAGTTTTTTGATTCTTTATGATTGATCTGATTTTTTAATGGATTACTACTTTCAAAATTTCTCAACACAAGATTAGTATCCTTAAAACGTAATTCTTGTCAGTGATTCCTTGTAACTGATAATATTTTAACCTTCTTGTGTATTACATCTATGTCCAGAAAGTATTTAGAATTTTTATAAAGTGAGTTATTACTTGAATCCCAGAGTACTTAGAGTCAATTACAGAGTTTAAAGGGGGCCACAAGAGATTCTAATATAGGTCAGTGGTTCTTAACCCCAATTTTGGTTCCCAGGGATGTTTGACAACATCTGGAAACATTTTGATGGTCACTATTGGAAGGGCACCTCTGGCATCTAGTGGGAAGAGGGGGATGCTGCTACATATCCTTTCATGCACAGGACAACCGCCACAACATAGAATTGTCGGTAGACCTGGAGTTAAAAACCTTTGCTATAAAATTATTTATAAACATTATTTTATTTTCTTGAGGGTCTCCATTCTAGGCACTGAGATAGGAACTGGAAATACATCAGTGAACCAACAAAATTCCTATCTCCCTGTAGCCTTTTCTTTGCTTAAATGGAAAAATGTATGTCTCACTTTCTCATTATGATCTCACTTTCACATGATGTTTTTAATTTTTCTCAAATTCAAAATAAAGCCAGAAATATTTTTTGCCAATCCTTGTCTCTCTTCCTTTTCCCTCAGAGATTGCCTAAGCAAATTGAAGAACGTAATGAGAGACTAAAGGAAGAGATGTTAGGTGAGTTTGCTTCTCTTGCTTTCTACAACCCATGAACTTTTAGGGAGCTGGGGCTCTGGAGTGTCAGTGTTTAGGTCATCAGAAGACACTTCAAAGAGGATGTAAGGATGGCATGAGAATATGTCTAATAAAACCAGTCATTAGGGGAACACAAACTAAAACTACAATGAGATACACAACTATCAATCCACAACAAGTAGAATGACTAAAATAAAATTTAAAAGTAGTAACAAAGAGAGGGACTGAGAGCTGGCAGCCAGGAGGCAGGCTTGCAGAATGTGCCCTTTGGTGGTTTAAATTATTATATATGCCTGAATGTTAAAACAAAAAAGAGCCTAAAAAGGAGTAGAGAGAAATACTGTTAACTGGTGGTACATTTGTTGTGTGTCGTGGAGTCAGTTCCGACTCAACATGGAGGGGATTATAATCATTGTAATGAAACAGAATGTATGATTTGTTAAATGTAAAACTGATGATCTGCCCTGTAAACTTTCTCTCGATTCACAATAGAAACTCAAAAAAAAAAAAAAAATAGTGACAATATAAAGTGCTGAGAAAGCCCTCCACAAAGTACAGCTGCAGAGCAACTGGAAGTCTCATACATACATACTTTTCTGGTAGAAATGCAGAGTAATATAAAATGATTTGACAATTGCCTAAAAATTTGAGGGACTTCAAAAAGTTTATGGAAACACTTTTAGCTTTTTTCTTTTAACTTTTTATTATGAATTGAGTGGAGGCTTAAAGAGTAGATATCTGTTCAGCAGATCACATGTTTTGCTTCATTACAATGTTTGCAATCCCTTCCATGTTACCAACAGTTAAAGCATTTACCTCTTTATTGCGTTTTCTTGCATTCCTCCCTGTGTCTCCCACCACCTACCCCTTTCCCTCTTGTTGTATATTGCCCGCCCTGTCTCCATTGTTAAGATATGTCTGTTCTCTAACGTGTGAATAATTTTCCTTCTCCCTTAACCCCCGTAATTATCACACACTTTCTTTTATCAAGAAAAACTCAACTTTTTACATTGGTCTCATACAATATTTGTCCTTTTGGTACTGACTGATTTCACTCAGCATAATGTCCTCTAGGTTCATCCAGTTGTGAAGTGTGTCTATTCATTATTCTTCAACATTGTGTAGTATTCCATTGTATATATGTACTAAAGTGTGTTTAACCATTCTTCTGTTGACAGGAATTTAGTCGTTTTCCATCTTTTTGATGTGTTTCTTGTAGACTGCATATTGAGGGGTTCTGTTTTGTTATCCATCTGCTCACTCTGTCTCTTACTGGTGCGTTCCATTTACATTCAGTGTAATTAATTATCAATGCGTGCTAGTTGATCGCTGTCATTGTGCTGTGTGTGTGTGTGTGTGTGTGGTACTGTTGGTTTCTTCTACATAATCTACACTGAGTTCATGTTGTGAGTTTTCATTTTCTTAATTTCTGTTGTGTTAATGTTCACTAAGTTTTTCTTATTTTCCTCTTTTTTATTTTGATGTGGCAGCATGTTAATTTTCATTTAGGTTACCCAGTAATTTATTAATTTTTTCTTCCATGTAAAAGTTTGTTTTATCTTGCAATTTACTTGATTTCCTTGCCACATGGAAGTTCGGTTTCTCCACTATTCTGTCTTTCTGCTTTGTAGTAGACTTCATTATAAGTTGGTATCCCTGGTTCCCTAATTTCAGTCTTGTAGATTTATTTAACTTTAAATACTTTTATATCTGGATTGAGTTCTGAGTGCTGTTGTCATATATATGTGACTCTCAGGTTGTTGTCTGTTGTTGTTGGTTCTCAGCCCAAAGAACTCCCTTTAGTAATTTTTGTGTGAAGTTGGTCTAGTTATTACAAATTCCTTTCATCTCTGTTTATCTGAAAACGTTCTAATTTCAGCATCGTATTATATTGAAGAAAAGAGTGAAGGTTTCTAGACAGAGACCTATGTAGCAGTTGTGCTTCTTGTTGTTGTTAAGTGCCGTCGAGTCGGTTCCAACCCCTAGGAGCCCTGTATAAGGTTTCCAAGGAACAGCTGGTGAGCATGAACCCCCAGCTTTGCGGTTAAAGCAACTTGCAACTTTGCGGTGCAGCGCCATACCATGACTCCTGATATTTCCCTGAAGATAGAAATTTAATATGCACCCCCTCTCACTTATACATGTGGTTAGGTTCCAAAGACCAGGTCATTTTGCAAAGCTTGGAGTCATGTGAGAATGCAGGATGGTGACTACATCATTATATGTGGAGCCCTGGTGTGGAGCTGTGGGTTAATGCGCTAGACCACAAGGTCGGCAGTTCAGGCTCACCAGCTGCTCCTCAGAAACCCTATATAGGGTCGCTCTGAGTCAGAACGGGCTCAGTGGCACTTAACATCAACAACAACACATCATTACATACTGCCAAGCCACTGAGACTTGTGCACCAGCCATATTGACACAGAACTTGAACCATCACAGCCTCTCACCCCACCCTGAGGTTATTGCCCAACAAATGTCGTTTCTGCCAGACATATGTCATTAATGTTCAGAATAACCAGAAAATAGTTTTTTTTACTGTTGTCGTAAATGAAAAATACCAGAGAACAAGCTAGTCAGTAAATGTGGAGTGAGGTGTACTGTAAATCCCTTCAGTTTAAAGGATAGGCCTGGCCCTCTCTGACCTTCAGATTATCAATCCAGAGAATGAGAACAGATTTCCAAAGGTTCCCTCTGATAACTGAACTGGTTGAGAGTTGACCATTAACCTAAATTATTCTGACCCTTTTTTGGTACATCAGACTCAAAAAAAACCTGCTTCATACTCAAGATTATTTCTGCAGCCCTCCCCTGTTTGGTTTTAAAAAAGACTTTTTCTCTAATTTACATATTTAACTAGACTTGACACCGTATTTGAGTGGAACATTTTGGAGAGGTACTCTTCCTGCAAAGAAGAGGGGAAAGCATTTTCCTACCTAGTCTACTAACAAGGATGTTATTTTAGCGGAAAAAAAAAATAAAAGTATTTGCATTTAGTGATGAGGCCCTGCTGAGCCGGGTTTCATAATTGGCACAAATTGAATCTTGCTGGACACTTTTAGGTGGAATCAGAACTCCCATCTGTCTTTGAATGAGGAAAATTTCCTGTCTCTATGAGTACAAGTAAATACAAGTAAAACCCAAAGTTAAAAAATCTTTGTGTTTACTTGTATCCTTCATTTTCTTTGAAATATCTAAGGTGAATTTATTCCCTCACTTGCTTCTGTCTGAAGTAAACTCCCGTTAGACTTGAGTACCTTAAGTTGCTTGGTAAGTAATATATCAGATTATTGTTACACATCAGTAGTTAGGATGTGTAGACTCTCACTTCTTAATGTCTATAAGTATCATAAATAAAATAAGGACTCATAAGTGTAACTAGCCTCTCAACCTAGAAGGGAGAGATCCTACTCTGTGTGGAATGTTACAGATGAGGGGGCCATGATCAATGTGCTCTGAGATTCCTGGAGGCTAGACAATCTGAGCACAAACTTAATAACCCTTCCTTAGGATTTCAGAGCAAGCATGGCTGTTAGTGTTGATTCCTATGGACGCAGTGGCTTCTGCTGGAAGACTAACAAAGAAAGATAAAAAGCCCTCTGATCCCTGTTTTCATTGGCACTCAGGAAGTAGTTATCTAATAGAATGGGCTCCTGTTCACAGTGCTCAGTATTCTTCAACATGCCTTTTCTTTTCTGTGACTTGTTTTCCTTTGGGGAAAAAGAACTGTACCTTCCTTCTTGGAAGAAACTTCTAATGGGAATCATTAATGGGAGTAGTACTATTGTCACTCTCTCCTTGCCTGTCACTTGCAAATGCCATCATTATTACAGGAGAGGAGACCGTGGTGGGCATCAGTCATAGTGCCTTAGTCCTTGTTAGCCAGCAAAGCCAATCATTTTAGCTTCCGGTATCAGAAAAGGGTTGCCCATAGGGTGTTGTGTTTTGTCTTTTCTCTAGGATGATGAAACTAGTAGCCACCATAGCCAGGTTAAAGAAGGCTTTAAGGGACTTACGGGGTCTGGTCAGTGGTGAGGGAGGGGATATAGATATCCTGGACACAGCACCCCAAGAAGCTCAGAGGTTTTTAGAACAGCTGATAGTACTGGTGATCATTGCTTCTGTAATAAGGCCGATTTCAAGAAGACAAAATTCTGAATTCAGGATTAACAGCCCCAATTTGTTTTGATTTTATAGTATTAAAATTTTGGCTCTCACAGACCATTTACCTAAAAGTTTTTAGAATCCCCAAAGCTTCTCTAGGGAGCACGGTGGCTCTGTAGGATAAGCAATGGACTGTAAACCATAAGATTGGCAGTTCAAGCCCACCAGCTGCTCCATGAGAAAACAATGAGGCTTTCTGCTCAAAGATTTACAAGCTCAGAAACCCTATACAGGGTGGCTATGAATCGGAACTGACTCAAATGCACTTTTGACACTGTTGACAACAACAACAAAGCTTTCTTTGCTCAACTGTTGGGAACAGTGTATTTTCTGCATTTGAGTGCACCTCAAGATTTGTGGCTGATCAACCTTGTGGCACCAGAGTACCTTCCTCTACTTCAGCTTGGTCTGGAAAGCTACACTGGGAATGTAAGAGGTGTGGGCATGAAGGCCAGATAATGATACTAGCAAACATCTCTGAGCAAGAATCAGCTTTGATTACCAGTGGGAAAGAATATGCGATAAAGAAAGTGGTCATCATTTGCACATTGTTTTGTCCTGTATACTTGGCCCGGCCAGGAAACTTTCAAGCAAGTGGAATTGCCAAGAATCTGTATATATGTTTGCGGTACTGCCTTCATTTCCTGCCATTTGCTTCTTTCTCCAAAAGGTAGCATAGGTACTTGGGCTCATTTTCACTTGGGCTCATTTTTCACTTTGTCAAAGTGGTGCTTACAATTATTTGTTTCTGTTTTATTATTATTATTTTGTATTTTGTTGTTGTAGAGAATATACACAGAAAAAAAAAATACACCAGTTCAAGTTTCTACCTGTACAATTCAGTGACATAAATTAGATTCATTTAGTTATGCACTCAGTCTCGTTGTCCTTTTTGGAACAGTTCCTACCCTATTTATATAAACTCACAGACCCCCAAATTCCCTATGTGATCTTTTGAGTTGCTGTTGTCAATTTGATTCCCCATGGGTAATTCTTAAAAGAGCCTAATGCTCAAGGCAGACATTCTTCACTAGTTAAACTGAGCTATTTGGTTTAAAAAAGACTCCAAGCTATATTTTTGGTTCAAGGCTTTAAAGGTTATCTTTTGACAATAGTATCAGGGCTCAACCAGCTTTCTTGGCTCCAGAAAGTCTGGATCCCATGAGGATTTTAAATTCTATTTTGCAACCCCCACCCCCACCCCCTTTACAATTAGGTTTTAATATCAGGCTCAAAATTCTGGCCATCATCTCAAAAACAAGCTCTTAACAACTATTAGAGAGGGTGGTCAGTGGGAGTAAGTGTAGAGGCAAGTCAGATGGGCAATTAAAGGCCAGAAGTGGGCACGGGCTCCAGTGGAGTCCAGCAGCTCTGCTCTGAGCGAAATCTCCTGAGTATAAGCAGGTATGTTCAGATATGTGCTCTTCCAGCTCACTTGACTTCAGATCTCAGACAACTCTCTGTGGCAAGCTGTTCCATGACAGCTTTCCTTTGAGTAGAAAATAAGCGTATTAAAGAAGTAGTGTTTATTTGGAGGACCAGCTCATCCCCAATTACTGAGTGTGCAGAGCACACTGAACCACTGGGATCTGGAAGCTTTTTCTATTAATGCTTTCTCTTGGAGTGGGTTGTCCTTCCCTTTAAACATGGGAGTTCCTGTAGAGTTAAATCCTAGACTTTTCCCCAAAATTCTCATCATGTTAGGAAGAGCAAATGGCCTTGCATTTGCAAATCCTTTAGCTGGGCTTTATTTTATTATGGGAGGCCTTGGAATGACAAAAGCTGCAAGCCACTGAGTATAGTAGGAAGAAGCCCCTGTACCCTCTATTTAAGAACTGTCTTAGTTTTAGCTATTCTAATTGCCCCATAAGTTCCTACAACCCACTGAAGTGTCCTGGAAATTCCAACTCTTACCAAACTGACTCTGTGTCCTGTTGTATCTAGAAACAGCATAAATATCCGTAGTTGTATTATGCGCATCAATTTTGGCTTTAGGAATGCGGTCACCCCAGTAATGGTTAAAGTATGAAACTTGGGAAGACAAGACTGGACTATTGGGTTTGCTATGGAAGCCAGAGCTTTGCTTCTATGTTTAAATCCTGACTCAGTAGGAATTAACATTCAGCAAGTAGCTGCTGCTGTTTTGTAGAGAACAGACTTGGGGAAACCCCTGCCCTCACTGCCAGGCAGACAAGACTTGGCGGGGTGCCTCCAGCCCCAGTGGGAGCAGCAGTTGATTTTCCCATCATGCATCCCAGAAGCCTGTATTCAGTAGTAGTTCTGGCCAGTCTGGGAAGGAAGCTTTGGTCTCCTGGAAGGAGCAGTGGGGCTCCCTCACTTCAGATCCGTACAGCCCAGCTCGAGGATGCACAGCACTGAAGTGACTACACCGCTGAGGGGAAGAGGGGCCTCTCCTAAAAGATGTCACATTGTTAAAAGCAACCATTCATTAAACCACAGAAAAGTACTTCTGTTGTTTGTAATCAGCAAGAGCAAGGCAGGATCACCTGGGGTCTCCCTGCTTCTCTGCTTGCCCTGTATTCATTGGAATTTTTTTCTTTTGCATTTCAGGTAAACTAAAAGATCTTGGGAACTTGGTTCTCCGACCTTTTGGACTCTCCACAGAAAATTTCCAGATCAAACAGGATTCCTCTACTGGCTCTTACTCCATCAATTTTGTTCAAAATCCAAATAATAACAGATAATAAGAGATAGCAAGAGCTATAAAAGGCTGGCTTAGAAATTGTGTGCTGCTTGCTATTAGCAAGGGGAAAGGCCCTACCAATGTTCAATTCTTAAAAGCATATTATCTAAAAGAAAGGCTATCCGATAGAGGCCAGTGCTCCCATCTCCCTCCTGTTGTGTGATCAGTGTGAAACACACTTACAGATGGAATGGGCCTAATTTGGTTTCCATTTGAGACAGTGTCTGTGCAGCTAGTACTCCTCCTGGTTCTGGCTTCATGTCCTTTATTTTGTCCAGGAGGAAGTGTGCTCAGCAAGACTGACCTTCCTGAGCTGCTCCCCACCACCACCACACACACACACACAGCACGTCACTGGTTCAAGCCCACAAAGTCTCTCCTGAGCCACACACACACCTGTTGGTGTGAAGACTACCCAAACGTGATTGGTGGGGTTCTCACCTGCCATCCCCTCTCCCTGAATTTACATCACATGCTGCCATGAGTGCCTCCAGCGCATTCTGATTTCCTCTTGTGGTAATAAAGCTTTCTGTGATGGTCTGGGCTGTGAATTTTGTCTCCACAAAGGCCAAAAAGTAGACAGCCTCTCAGGCTTTGGGGATGCTGTTGGTTTCCGGTTGTTGAGTCTGAAATCCACAAAAATGCCCAGTGTCAGGATTGCTACCTTGGAGATTATCCAGAAGAATGAACCATTTTTCCATGTGCTAGAATTCTTATTAGTTGTCTTGCACCTTTCAATATTTGTGTGGATAATTATGAAACCAGTGTTTCTAAGCAAATATTAACCTTAATAATTTCTAGTCAAAATGGCTTCATTCAAATGAGTGGTGACATGTGAACCCCAAAACAGTGCTGTGTTCTTCTAAGACTACAGGAACCCAGAGGTTTCAAAGGCAGGTTTTGTTTTTTCCTCTAGTGATGAGTTGGTACTGATAAGTTTTCAGATGTCCTGGTTTAAGTGTCAAATGCAATGATAAGTAAATTTTATAGTAGGAGTAGATAACTTGCAGGATTCTCAGTCACAAGTGGGGAACTTTTCTCTGCCAAAATTTATAGCATCATTTGTAGGCCACACAAAATTATCAGCTTAAAGAATGAGACTGCTGTATTTGGTCAAACATTTAATTAACCACAAAGCACCAAATGGAATACACAGAAATCCAGTTGACTACATCTGTGGATAGAGATAGTGGGAAAGCTCCCTATCACCAGCCAAAACAAAGCAGATTGTGAAACAGACCCATCAGTTGCTCATACGCAAATCCAGGCTGAAGCTAAAGAAAATTAAAACAAGTTCATAAGAGGCAAAATCTGACCTTGAATATATCCTAACTGAATTTAGAGATCCTCTAAAGAACACATTTGATGCATTAGACACTAAAGACTGAGGACCAGAAGAGCTGTGGGATGAATCAAGAACATCATACAGGAAGAAAGCAAAAGTTCAATAAGAAAAGAAAGAAGGAAAAGATCAAAATGATGTCAGAAGAGACTCTGAAACTTGCTCTCCAGTGTAGAGATGCTAAAGCAAGTGGAAGAAGTGAGGAGGTACAAGAGCTGAACAGAAAATTTCAAAGGTCAACTCGAGAAGACAGAGTAAAATATCGTAATGAAATGTGCAAAGACTTGGAGTAAAACGACCAAAAGGGAAGAACATGTTCAGCATTTTTCAAGCTGAGGGAACTGAAGAAAAAAGGGATTTTTTTCAATCCTCAATTTACAATACTGAAGGACTTAAAATATTGACTGATGAAGATCAAAGACCACAGCCTTCAGTATGCATTGCATCTCAAAGTAAAGAAAACAGAAATCCTCACCACTGGACCAATATAATGAAGAAAAGATTGAAGTTGTCAAAGACCATTTTTCTAGGATCAACCATCAACACTCATGAAGCAGCAGTCAAGAAATCAAGCGATTTATTGCATTGGCCAGGTCTGCTGAAAAGACCTCTTTAAAGTGTTGAAGATCAAAGATGTCAGTTTGAGGACTATGATGCACCTGATCCAAGCCATAGTATTTTCAGTAACCTCATATGCATGTGAAAGTTGGACAGTGAATAAGGAAGACTGAAGAAGAACTGATGTATTTGAGTTATGGTGTTGGAGGAGAATATTGAAAGTACCATGGACTGCCCAAAGAGCAAACATCTGTGTTGGAAGATGTACAGCCTGAGTGCTCCTTGGAAGCCAGCATGGCCAAACTTCGTCTCGTACGTCGGGCATATTATTAGGAGGGACCAGTCCCTGGAGAAGGAAATCATATTCAGTAAAGTGGAAGGTCAGAGAAACAGTGTAAGACCCCCAACAAGACAGATTGACACAGTGGCAGCAGCAATAGTCTTAACTGTAGCAACGATTGTGAGGTTGGCACAGAACCGGGCAGTGTTTCATTCTGCAGTCGGTACCAATTCGATGGCACCTAACAAGCACTTGATCACAAGGCTGGTTTAAAACAGCTGCTCCCCAGAGACTATAAAGGTTGGTATGATTTGGAAACGACTGGAAATGTGTTTGCCTTATGGCCAGATCAAATGCCCACAGGCCGGCTGTTCCCACCCCTGCTCTAGGTGACACATGGCAGTCATATGCCCAGTGTTGTGGACTGTGCTGGTTCTGATCTCTTCCAAAACGCCCCCTGCTAGCACGATCAGTGAATGATGTGCTGCCTTAGCTAAAAGTTTTGAGGCATGTTGTACCGTGACATCATACTCAAAATTTAAGCATTTGACTTGTTTGAAAATATATGTTAGAACAGTTTTATTTCAAAAAAAATAATAATACCCAAAGCACCAAACCCAGTGAGTGGACTTGAGCTGGACTCACACAAAGACCCTCTTTAGTTCCCAGGCTAACTATGTACAGGAGCAGTCTCATCCCACTCAGTGGTGGGTGGGTTTGAACCACTCACCAGCTCCTCAATTTGACATCCAGCACCTAACCCACAGCACTACCAGGGCTCCTTCAGCCTCTCCCCTACCCAAAATGTGCTATTTTGCATTTTTCTTAAGTCTCTTTAACATGTGACCTGGCAACAGACTAGATTTTCGTACCTGCTTCTGCACTCAGCTTGTGAGTGTCACATGTCTGTCTCCCTTGAAAAGGTCCACATTCAAAATGTCCTGACAATTGAGTAAAAAGGCAGGTAACCCCTAAGTGTTACTACAACTTGGTTTTTACCCAATGAACATGTGAAACGGTTTCAGGAACCTGTAGAGTACGTAGGTACATTTTGAGAACCATTTTGTCAGGTTATGTTTTTTTTAGCTGCAATGAATAGGTCTGGGATCCCTGACAGATACTCTAAGCCTCCAGTAAATCATAGAGTTGTTCCCAGAAACACACTCAGATGGTCTTGGAGAGAAGATACCTGTGACCTCCATTGCTGTAAGATATAGGCCTCAACAATTTTCTTCTCCTTCCTTTACTCCCCATCTTCTCTTATCGGACATCACACAAGGCCACGTTTCCAGTGAGTGAGCAGGCCAAGTAGTGCATCTGGAAAGGAAAATCTGCATTCGATGTGAGTTTGCTTAATTAACTTTTTATCTAGCACTTCTACTTCTCTATCAAATCTGAAAGAAAAACAGATTCAACCCTTTTGAAAATGTTTCACAGAAAAAGCCATGAAGTTTAACATCCAGCAAGTAATTCCAATGTCAGTATAGAAGATATAAGTGGTGTTTTTCACATCCCAAAGACTATATGATGGGTTTGTGTTCACATCACAAACCAAGGACATCAGCTTGGTTTCCCCTAATCGAGGCCATGAATTGATTTGTGAGTGAGTTCATGGTCCCAGGTGGGTCGTCTTCAGCAGCCTTTCTAGAAGTAGCCTTACTGGGATCCAGAGGGCTCAGCAAGGGTTTCACAACAGTGAATCCAATCATTGTACCCAGGAAGCTGAAAATGAGTGTTTTGTAAGCAGTAAATGCAGATCCATTAGGCCACCTACGCAGCCATGCAGAACATCGATATTTGAGCATTCAATCGATATGCACATTTCTCTCCTGGTTTTTACCTTCTCATTTCTGCGTCTTGGATATTTGCAAGGATTTGTGCCAATTTTGAAAGTTCCCCAAGTTGCCTTCTACTTTGAGTCGTGCTTCATTTTCCCAAATGGCATTTCCACAGGCTCTTGTATTTTCTACCTCTATTCAAACACTATAAGGAGCTCTGGTAGCGTAGTGGTTACGAATCGGGCTGCGAACCTTAAGGTCAGCGGTTCAAAACTACCAGCCGCTCCGCGGGAGAAAGATGAGGCTTTCTACTCCCGTAAAGATTTACACCCTCGGAAACCCTGTACAGGGTCGTTATGGGTCGGAACCGACTCGATGGCACTTAACAACAACAACATTCAAACACTATAACCACCTTTTCAGTTCTCACTTTGAACAGCTTTTTCATTGGCTGGAACCTCTGGAGAAGGCTGACCCAGAAAATTGGGACTATTGTGTCAAAACAATTCACATGTGGTTTTCTGAGATGCTAGATCTAAGGTTAAGTTCACTTTCTAAACTCCCTGCCTCTTTCTAAGAACTCTGATTTCCAGGTATGCTTCCCTTCCATCATAAGCTCTACAGCTGATCTTGGGTTTTCCTTTTATTCCTTGCCCCATTCCACCGAAAATGCCATATTTTCTTATTTTACAAGTTAGTAAGTTTACAAGGAGAACATACACCATGTTGAGACGTGGAGGCTGGGGAGAACAGCCTACTAGCTACTGACCTTAAAGAACATCAAGCATTGGATCTGACCTTTAACTTCACAACGTGACAAGACCTCAGAAATGAATCTTCAGAACTGCCCTGATATAGTCAAATGTACAAATGTCCATGAATAGCAAGTGTTGTACAATTCTGTGTAGTTGGAGATACAAAGACTGCTTTGAGAAATGCTGCTGGGCCTACTGTTTATTACTGCTGCTCCGGGAGTTCCTGAAATGGCCTCAAAGGCCAACAGTTCAGAGTTCTGGTGTGGCACTGTGGGTTAATGTGCTGGA